GGCCGCAGCACGCCAACCGCTTGATTTGGACAAAGGGTGATCCACCTAATTGCGTGATTCATGTCACGACATGCGGGGCTCTCGTATCTTTGACACAGAGCCATCCTCTGTACCAAAGACTGCACGGCCATTCAATGGCGCCAGCGAGGTAGGTGGCAAGCGCGATTGATAATCGTCCCATCTTCAAGCCAGCGCCGACAGTGTGAATTCGTCCAGCTTTAGCGAGCGTTCAAGACTTTGCACATACCATCCAGGGGTTGTAGATGCTGGGGAAAGGAAAGCAATCGAAACACACGAAACGCTGAAACCGGTGGGAGTCCGTCTTAACTAAGTTTTGTTCAGTATCCCCTTGGACCACCTCCTAATTGACTCCATAGCCACACCTCATATAAAATAGGCAACTGGGTAACAGTCCCAGCTATTGGGTACCACGCCAGCAGAGTCAAAACGAGTGACACATCTCAATATGTAGGCAACTGAGTAACAGTCCCAGCTATTGGGTACCACGCCAGCACGCCAGCAGAGTCAACACGAGTGACTTTACCATGCTGAATGTCTGCAGTAGATTCTCTAGGCCTCGCATCGCTACAGCCATCTTTACGTTACCTCTTTCAACCTTGAGGCCCGTTTCGCGTACATTCCAGCCCAACTGCGCCCACCAGAAATCTTCCCGCCACAAAAACATACGTAAGCCGATGTGTACCTTCGACAACCCCATTGCCTTTGGGACAAGCCCACGATCTCATTTGGTGACGACGCGTGTGTGAGAGAGGCACGAGCAACGAACAGCTGGTTATCGTGCGAAAGCATCATTACTGGAAACCCGGACGCCTCGATGTTCATACGACCATGGATACGATTCTATTGCCATGATGTCCGTTGGCCTCTCTCTCGGTAAAAGCAGGACACAGCCGCTCCATGCAACAGCGGCTGTTTCTCGGTTTCCCTAAGCACATTCAGCTCGAGCTTGAGATCAACTGCCGGAGTTCTTCAATGACTTCCGGAAACCAGCTCTTCGCGTTTCTCATGTAAGCTTCAATCCAAAACGGCGTCACCAAATGTCGCCAAACGAGCTTATACCTACATGTAGGTCGATACAGAGTACGGTCGATGAAGGTCTCGACCACGCGAAATTGTATGTGGTAGAACGAAGAATCCAACGTACCTTTGCCTTAAAGGAGATGCCTGTATGCCTTTTGGCAACCTGATTGCAGAAGAGAGTACCCCTCAAAACTCGTTTGGTGACGACGCGTGTGTGAGAGAGGCACGAGCAACGAACAGCTGGTTATCGTGCGAAAGCATCATTACTGGAAACCCGGACGCCTCGATGTTCATACGACCATGGATACGATTCGATTGCCATGATGTCCGTTGGCCTCTCTCTCGGTGAAAGCAAGACACAGCCGCTCCATGCAACAGCGTCTGTTTCTCGGTTTCCCTAAGCACATTGAGCTCGAGCTTGAGATCAACTGCCGGAGTTCTTCAATGACTTCCGGAAACCAGCTCTTCGCGTTTCTCATGTAAGCTTCAATCCAAAACGGCGTCACCAAATGTCGCCAAACGAGCTTATACCTACATGTAGGTCGATACAGAGTACGGTCGATGAAGGTCTCGACCACGCGAAATTGTATGTGGTAGAACGAAGAATCCAACGTACCTTTGCCTTAAAGGAGATGCCTGTATGCCTTTTGGCAACCTGATTGCAGAAGAGAGTACCCCTCAAAACTCGTTTGGTGACGACGCGTGTGTGAGAGAGGCACGAGCAACGAACAGCTGGTTATCGTGCGAAAGCATCATTACTGGAAACCCGGACGCCTCGATGTTCATACGACCATGGATACGATTCTATTGCCATGATGTCCGTTGGCCTCTCTCTCGGTGAAAGCAAGACACAGCCGCTCCATGCAAAAGCGGCTGTTTCTCGGTTTCCCTAAGCACATTGAGCTCGAGCTTGAGATCAACTGCCGGAGTTCTTCAATGACTTCCGGAAACCAGCTCTTCGCGTTTCTCATGTAAAGTTCAATCCAAAACGGCGTCACCAAATGTCGCCAAACGAGCTTATACCTACATGTAGGTCGATACAGAGTACGGTCGATGAAGGTCTCGACCACGCGAAATTGTACGTGGTAGAACGAAGAATCCAACGTACCTTTGCCTTAAAGGAGATACCTGTATGCCTTTTGGCAACCTGATTGCAGAAGAGAGTACCCCTCAAAACTCGTTTGGTGACGACGCGTGTGTGAGAGAGGCACGAGCAACGAACAGCTGGTTATCGTGCGAAAGCATCATTACTGGAAACCCGGACGCCTCGATGTTCATACGACCATGGATACGATTCTATTGCCATGATGTCCGTTGGCCTCTCTCTCGGTAAAAGCAGGACACAGCTGCTCCATGCAACAGCGGCTGTTTCTCGGTTTCCCTAAGCACATTGAGCTCGAGCTTGAGATCAACTGCCGGAGTTCTTCAATGACTTCCGGAAACCAAGCTCTTCGCGTTTCTCATGTAAAGTTCAATCCAAAACGGCGTCACCAAATGTCGCCAAACGAGCTTGTACCTACATGTAGGTCGATACAGAGTACGGTCGATGAAGGTCTCGACCACGCGAAATTGTACGTGGTAGAACGAAGAATCCAACGTACCTTTGCCTTAAAGGAGATGCCTGTATGCCTTTTGGCAACCTGATTGCAGAAGAGAGTACCCCTCAAAACTCGCTTGGTGACGACGCGTGTGTGAGAGAGGCACGAGCAACGAACAGCTGGTTATCGTGCGAAAGCATCATTACTGGAAACCCGGACGCCTCGATGTTCATACGACCATGGATACGATTCTATTGCCATGATGTCCGTTGGCCTCTCTCTCGGTAAAAGCAGGACGCAGCCGCTCCATGCAAGAGCGGCTGTTGCTCGGTTTCCCTAAGCACATTGAGCTCGAGCTTGAGATCAACTGCCGGAGTTCTTCAATGACTTCCGGAAACCAGCTCTTCGCGTTTCTCATGTAAAGTTCAATCCAAAACGGCGTCACCAAATGTCGCCAAACGAGCTTATACCTACATGTAGGTCGATACAGAGTACGGTCGATGAAGGTCTCGACCACGCGAAATTGTATGTGGTAGAACGAAGAATCCAACGTACCTTTGCCTTAAAGGAGATGCCTGTATGCCTTTTGGCAACCTGATTGCAGAAGAGAGTACCCCTCAAAACTCGTTTGGTGACGACGCGTGTGTGAGAGAGGCACGAGCAACGAACAGCTGGTTATCGTGCGAAAGCATCATTACTGGAAACCCGGACGCCTCGATGTTCATACGACCATGGATACGATTCTATTGCCATGATGTCCGTTGGCCTCTCTCTCGGTAAAAGCAGGACGCAGCCGCTCCATGCAACAGCGGCTGTTTCTCGGTTTCCCTAAGGACATTGAGCTCGAGCTTGAGATCAACTGCCGGAGTTCTTCAATGACTTCCGGAAACCAGCTCTTCGCGTTTCTCATGTAAAGTTCAATCCAAAACGGCGTCACCAAATGTCGCCAAACGAGCTTATACCTACATGTAGGTCGATACAGAGTACGGTCGATGAAGGTCTCGACCACGCGAAATTGTATGTGGTAGAACGAAGAATCCAACGTACCTTTGCCTTAAAGGAGATACCTGTATGCCTTTTGGCAACCTGATTGCAGAAGAGAGTACCCCTCAAAACTCGCTTGGTGACGACGCGTGTGTGAGAGAGGCACGAGCAACGAACAGCTGGTTATCGTGCGAAAGCATCATTACTGGAAACCCGGACGCCTCGATGTTCATACGACCATGGATACGATTCTATTGCCATGATATCCGTTGGCCTCTCTCTCGGTAAAAGCAGGACACAGCTGCTCCATGCAAGAGCGGCTGTTTCTCGGTTTCCCTAAGCACATTGAGCTCGAGCTTGAGATCAACTGCCGGAGTTCTTCAATGACTTCCGGAAACCAGCTCTTCGCGTTTCTCATGTAAAGTTCAATCCAAAACGGCGTCACCAAATGTCGCCAAACGAGCTTGTACCTACATGTAGGTCGATACAGAGTACGGTCGATGAAGGTCTCGACCACGCGAAATTGTATGTGGTAGAACGAAGAATCCAAC